GTGCGGCGACAGCTTCGAGCTGCTACCGGGCTTTTTTTCCGCGGTTCGTTTTCTTGATATTTTTTTATTCTATGATCATTAACCAATAAAGAATTTTTATTAATTCGGTGTGCTTCCCCCTCCTCCCTTCCCCCTCCCCCCATCCTCCCTCACAGCTGCGCCCCACACAGGCTCTCCTCGTTGCAAAGCATTAGCCCTATGAAAATGACACTTCGCAACCAAAGTAATATTTTTATGCGTTTTTCGTTGCAGCAATGATGCAAAACATGTATGTGTCTGTTTATTCGGATTTTGTTAAGGATTTTCGACTCAGCAGTCACAAAAGCTAGGAAGCTGAAAATTTAGAAGAATGTCTCCTATTCGTGCGTGTGACCCTGCAAATTCAAATTCATCTTCTGCGTACGTTTGCGTCGCACGTAAAAGAATATGAAAATTTAGGCAGGAAATTGTTGGCATGCCCTAACTGGTGATCCAGACAAGGCAGAAAACTGATTTTCATGTTTCCTTTCAGTAGGCGAACCCGGACATTCAAGTTCACTTTTCACTGACGATTATGTCTCACACACGAACAATGAAAGTTTTGGTAGAAAATCAATAATTTAGCAACAAGAAAAGCTAGGACGCTTAAATTTAGAAGGATCCTTTATTCTCACTTGCGATCCAATGTTTTTAAATTCAGCTTTACATATGTTTATCCTTACGTGCGAAAACAAGTTAGTTTGACGGGAAAATTATCTGAAATTTTAGGATGATGTTTCTTACTCATGTGTGGCTTTGGACTTTTAAATACAGCCTCTGTGTGCGCATGCGTTTCACATACAGAGGCATGAAAAGTGCTGGCGGGAAATACCCCAACTCTGGAGCCTGACAAAGTAACTGTTGGGGAATGTTTTCTGTCCTTCGAAAATTAAGCTTTCTCGCACGCCTACGATACAAGACCTGAATTAGAGAGAAAGGTTAATGAACAGCCAGACTTCAGACTTTACTTCATAAAGGGCATCAGTTCATCTGGGGATTGAACTCCCCCAAATTTCCATTCTATGGCCCATATGGCCCTCAATCACACTGCAACATAAGTCTGCTCAGAGATCGAGGATCAAGGTACCGCAAGGTTTGTGACTGGTTTTAAGCTGGTCATTAATTATTTGGAGGACTAATTCCTTACAATTTCCATCTGCTCTTAGTCAGTAAGACGCTTCATTGCGGTATAAAGATGGCTACATGTGATGCTTAACAAGCCTGAACTTGCTAAAGCCTTGAAAAGTGTTTCTAAACTGTTAAGTTGAGCTGATAATTTTTTCAGGAGGCAAAACGGGCATCAGAATCGTCAGCAGACTGATAACTAGACAGTGAAGCATTTGGTCAAAAAAACAGTGAAATTGAGGAGCCTTCAGTCGCTTTTCTTTTGTACCAGTTGCATAGTGCTTAAAGCGCAACATCCGAAAACAGTGAAAGATCTGCTAGCAAAATGTAGCACTAAACCTAATTTTGAACTGAGAATAGGAAAAAATAAGTAGATGAGTAAAGAATACTGCCCGCAGTTCGAAACGAAACGAGATCAGAAAGTCGAACTTGCGGATAGATACGATTAAAGCAAACGAATAACGATTTGTATGCGGAGCTAAGCAAAAAAAAAACAGTTTGTTAGCATCATTCAGCAAACTTCAATTTTATCGAACAAGCAAACGACTGTCTTTTTCTTTGCACTAATTTGTAAATGCGGAACAAGGGATGCTACTTCGCAGAAGCAATGACACAAAGATCGATGGAATATCAAGACCAGCAAGTTGAAATACAAAACGAAAGTCGAGCTGCAGTCATCTGCTGATGCACAACAAATAAAGGAAATGTATGGCAAGAGAAGCTGAGTTGGGCGTGCGGCAAGAGTAACAAATAGCAAATGAACAAGTGAGCAGCTTAATAATACTTGCAAACTGTTAAAAAGATAGGTTGCAGGCCAGTTGCTCGCTGGACTGTTGCGGATCATATACCATATGTCGCGATGTGAGCAGACGTGAAAAACACAAGATGCAAAGATTGCCAACTGGACAGCTGGAGATCCAGACCGGGAACTAACAGTAGTTCCGGATATTCTAGACAATCCCCAGTTTGTAACTTCCTTTGTTACTTTGAGAGGCAAAGACGAAGAGACAGAGAGAAAGCAAGAGAGTTGTAAGCTATTTTGAAGTCTGAGATCCTGTACATAAT